GGGGGCTAAAGAGTAATAATAAAGATTACACCCTAAAATGGTCAATTCTGAAGCGGGCAGGCGCATACTCATCTGGCGCAAAGCGTTGCAATCTCTGCATAGAAGAAAAACTCTGCATAATGGATGCAAACAAACATTTAACACTGAACAAAAGACCCGAGATATTCGCAAACGCGCGTGCGAATGACGGTGCACGTCAGCAAACTATAGATCACGCCATTATAACGAACTGAATTTAATCGCCTGAAGATTGCCACAAATAGTGGCATGAAACTTAAAGTAGCGAGAAATTGAAACATTTTAAGATAACAATATATATATATATATATATATTTATAATATAGCATTTGTAAATTCTGAACGCTGATTGGCTAAGAGCCGTGTTGATATAACTCCATGTCAACACGGGAAATTTTCCGCCGCTTGTACTGCGGATTCAGGTTGAGTGTTTAATGACGTCACGAGCACATGATTATTGCAACACTCGAACGCACGCGTTGTCAAGTGGAAAACGTCTTGTTGCTAGGGCTAATAGCTGTATAAATAAATAAATTCGTAATCGCACAAATGCAGCATTATTTGTAGCCGTATATCATTCAAAAGCCCATTATTTGCAATACAGTATAATTTATAAAATTATACACACGCTTTTTGAAAAGGTAAACAGCCAGTTACTGATAATTTTTGAATCAAATATTAATTGTTAATACCGAGTTTTAACGGGTTTTTTATTATAAAAATGTGGCGCGTAAACGAGCACGGTCGATTGTTTGCACAAATCGACGTATAAAACAGGCCCAATACTGTAAGTACTATATTAAACATTTAGAGGAGATCTTTTGTGTTGCGTGACAATAACTCAATTAATATTGATATTGCACCACAAACATTTTCGTAAAAACTAAAGCTCAAGACCAAATGAGCTATAATTAAATTAAACAGCTTTTGTCATATTTGAAATGGTATGCAATAACAGTATCATGTTGAGGTTTTTGTATACAAACATGCAATCTTCCCTTTATAAAACACAACAATACAGCACATATGCTGATAGAAGTATTAATAATAGTCTAAAGTATTTTCAAAGTGTTACTTGTTTGAGAATAGTTCATTTTCTTGCTTTTAAATGTAACAAAGCGGCCGCCGCATCGGCTTCAAGTTGAAGGTCGTCATTGTCGTCTTCATCGATTACACTATCAGATGATACATTTTCAATCTCTTGTTGTTGTATTTTAAGAGCCATATGAAAGTCGCTTTTGTCTTGACCGTCTAAACACAATTGATTATTCGATTTACTACATAACTTTTTTGTTGGGAAGTTAATTCCATACTCTTCTTCAAGGACTCGCTTTTGGGGAGCCATCCGGTGGTCAGTGCCGTGAATGACTACCGAATGTGTGCTAGTTTTAGTAGTTTTCGTTGAAGTTGACACCGACGTTTCTCTTACCAACGAATTTAGAAGGTTCATAACGTTATTTCGGGTTGGCAGGCTTCCCTTCAATTTACTCTGTAAAAGCATGACATCTTTGTTCAAAACTAACCAGTTTCTGCGTCCGCTAGTGATGTATCTATGCGGTTCTTCCTTTACAAGGATATCCTCTATTCTTTTCTTAGAAGAATTGTTCACGTTTTCTAATGCGGTTCTAGCACTATGCATATCAGATCTCGCTTTTGTTATTTCGGTTTCGAGCTTCGACACCTCTTTCGTGAGGTTTGCCCTTGTCGATCTTTGATCATTGTGTTTTGCGAGGATTCCACATGAAAATGCTGATCTACACGGGCTAAAAGTGCATGATTTTCTGGTGTGACCAATTTTTAAGTGACAATTGCCACACGCAGACAAGTGGCCGCCGTTCTGTTGACAGGCATCACTTAATTTATTGTCAAAACATTCAAGCTCTCGAGTCTTGTTCTGCAATTTTTCGGAAATGTTTCGAATGCTTTCTTCGTGTTTCTTTGCGTGTCTTTCCAGCGGTAAAATCACTGAGTCTGTACTCGGACTTATTATGGTCTTGCTATTATCAGTTAGCTGAACTTGCATGTTTCCCTTTCCGCTATTTTGAACTAATTCCAAACGACGTTTGCTTCGAGGATTATCTGAAATATTTGTAACTTTAGCTGGCGCCTGTGTACCAAAGTGAACAAGCGGTGATTCATTTGCAACAACACGAATAACAATTGTTTTTAATCCTTTGTTCAAAATTCTCATCATCTGCGACTTGAAATACTTTGGTGAGAGATCTATTTCGGGTCGATTTTCTTCAATCAAAATCAGTCACAATGAATCAGAGGGCGTTGCTGCTACCTTGGCAATGTGTGGAACTTCGCTTAACATACGCGAGTAAAAGCCATCATAAGATAAAGCCAGTAATTCATCGTTACCAATAAATAACGGTGTGATCCTGTTCTTTGAATAATACTGATAATCAAACTGAATTTCAATAAAATTATCCATCAAAGCAATACAATATTAAGCCGAGTATAAAGACTATAAACGTGACAACTTATCGAAAACAACCACGCCTTTACAATACTTCCGCATAGCAACAAGATATTTTCCACTTGACAACGCATGCGTTTGAGTGTTGCAATAATCACACGCTCGTGACGTCATTAAACACTCAACCTGAATCCGCAGTATTGCTAAAAAAATACCACTACACTTTTCTGATCCCCCAAAACAATTTTATAGCTTCGGCAAAATTAGCCTTAATTAAGGGGATTTTACGACATCAGAAACTCAAAAGTTAGGAGGGGGTGGTCAACTCGACAATGAAAGGTCTACGAAACCCCATATTCCACCATTGGTAATCTTACAAGATTCCTAACAAATGGTATAAATATGAAGGAAATCGGTTGACCTCAATCTTTTGGCTCTGCCCAGTTTTCTCAGACAATGACTCTTAATGTTCCTTGTCCCAAAATGGACAATGATTTTTGCCGAACCATGTACTGGACAAAGTGACCGACGCAATCGAAATAGTACCTGTCAAAACGGTTGAAATTGCGGATTTGTACCAGACAATATCCGTGACCGGCTGCTAATATTCAGACCTGATTGTATTACAGTTAAATAACCCTGGCTGGTAGCCGTAATGTTTTGTAGTACACTATTAGGTCCTATAGTATAGTATACTACAGACACGCCTGGCTGATAGCCGTATTGCCGGCTGGTAGCTGTGATGTATTGTAGTATACTACCGACAGGCTTGGCTGACACTTGTATTACATTGTAGTATTGTATTACAGTTAATTAACCCCGGCTGGTAGCTGTGATCTATGCTGTGATTTATTGTAAATATTGTATTAAAGAGTAGATACTGCTCCGCTGGTACTGTACCCTTGGCCGTGTACAATGGTGCACATATTTACGCAATCATAAATCGCGCTGGCTAAGAATAACCTCTATATATACAATAAATTAACTTATTTTTCACATTGCTCGGTTTCCTTTGTTCTTATCGGGGAATATATCCAATAGTTAACTGTCTGAAAGCCGGGGGCGGTTTTTGATATCAACAGGGGAGAGCAGGGCTGAAAACAATCACTGATAACAATGACGAAACAATAGATTAATATTCCCCTCTAATATTCACGTCTAATACTTAACTGCAATGTCTTTGCAGCACAAAAAGTAAAAAACAACATCAACAATTTGAAAGATACACACTTTTAATAATAAACAGTTATTATAACACACATATCACACATTACATTTTAAATAAAACCGAACAATTCGTCGAATTGATATTACACGGTTTACCCTCCTTAGCACTCTTATCTACTTTGGCTTTTTTTGTAATTGGCTCGTCCATAAAACAGTCCTTTCCTCCCTGCAAAATGTCAGAAACAGACTCCTTATCTTTTGCACTAACTCTTTGATATGTGTGTAGTGAAGTTAAACTTTTATGGCCTGTTCGATCCATAATTAATTTTTCAGGCACCCCTTTCGACAACGCTAACGAGCAAGCTGCTGCTCTTAAAGTATGATTCGTTTTATACCCTTCAATTCCAGCCTCTTTACACAAATTTGAAACTACATTACGAAGAGTATTTTTGCCGATTGGCACTTTAGTGTACCACACTTCACTTGCAGGTTTACAGTTTTTTATTGGTGTAAGATAAAACACTTCATTACGCTTAATATTTTCTGGGCATTTTGAAATATGTTTTTTAAATAATCTCACAACACACCTTTCACTTTGCTCTAGATTGATATGCTGTTCAACGACTTTTGGTTTGACCCTTCGATCTTTAATACCACGTCCATGATTCTTCTCTCCATGACATCTGTACTGCAGTCTTTCTCGTTCTGTCTCATCACCTCCAACTACATTGAGCTGCATGAATGTCAAGTTCCTGTGTTCTTCTCCGCTTCGCAGGGCAAAGAATTTTCCAAACAAAAACACAAGAGTATTAAGCAAAGTTCTCGGGTCAGCATCTTCCAACAGACCCTTTGCCCACAACATCTCTTCTTCATGTGCCATAATTGGCTCTGCTTGCTTTTTTGTCACCCCGACTCCTTTTCTTGTCAATGATTTCATCTGCGAATCGATAGCATCTTGAAAAATCTTGAAATTCGCATGTTTGAATATTTCTAGTTCTGGCCTATAATTATCTCTTAAATGTCTTTGAATACCAACACACACTTGGTATATGCTATTTGGCGGATATTCGTCACCCCCTCTCTTACGAACCTCGTAAACAAATTTGCTCAGCCAGAAACACAGTTCGTAGTCACTACATAAATGTAACAAATCGGCTGGCGGAACTACGCGAAATCGGTCACCAGCATCAGCAGAATTCTCTGTAGCAGTATTTCGTTCATTTCGCCACTCGTCCCAAACATTTAAACACCACAATGTTGTCTTTTTAGTGTTTAGTGGTATGCGTTCGCTATTTCTCGCCAACACCTGAGTCATTTAGGGCGGTAACTCCTCTCGAAAAACTTGTCGCTTCGATACGCTTGTCCAGAGATTGTTTTTCGCTTTCGTTATCGTAAACAAACTCTCCTGCTGTATTACCGAGAATTTCATCCAACTCACTTGTTGGAAATACCACGCCGCTAAACTTATTTTGTGTTATATAAATGTCTTCGTCCGACTCACTCATCTCTGTCACGTATAACTAACTTTGTCAAAATCTAGTATCTTGAACAGAACCAAAGCCGAACGTTTAACAATTAGAATTTTACATAGTTTGTTATTCGTCATATGTTAATCTAAATCATCCACTCAAAGCAGCAATTACTAATCCGCTAAAGTGAGCATCCTTTGTCATATACCCTTACTTAAACAAAGATGACCATTCTCTGTAACTCGTTTTCCAAAAAGACAATCCTTTAGTTTTAACTATAGTTCATAACAGCAATAATGCATAAAGTATTTCTTTCTATTATGATCATTATCGTTACCTCGCCAATGTGAAAAATAAGTACGTTATTTTGAGGCACCTCGGGGATATGTGTTTATTCACCTCGGCGCTACGTGCCTCGGTGAATAAATCACATATCCCCTCGTTGCCTCAAAATAACCTATACATATTTTCTGTGTAAGACGTGGTGGCACAGGGGAACAACACTCAGCGTCGCCGAACTCATTTTTGCCGAACCATGTACCGGACAAAGTGACCGACGCAATCGAAATAGTACCTGTCAAAACGGTTGAAATTGAGGATTTGTACCGGACAATGTCCGTGACCGACCGCTAATATTCAGGCCTGATTGTATTACAGTTAAATAACCCTGGCTGGTAGCCGTAATGTTTTGTAGTACACTATAGGTCCTATAGTATAGTATACTACAGACACGCCTGGCTGATAGCCGTATTGCCGGCTGGTAGCTGCGATGTATTGTAGTATACTACCGACAGGCTTGGCTGACACTCGTATTGCATTGTAGTATTGTATTACAGTTAAATAACCCCGGCTGGTAGCCGTGATCTATGCCGTGATGTATTGTAAATATTGTATTAAAGAGTAGATACACCTTGGCCGTGTACAATGGTGCACATATTTACGCAATCATAAATCACGCTGGCTAAGAATAACCTCTATATATACAATAAATTAATATATTTTCTGTGTAAGACGTGGTGGCGCAGGGGAACAACACTCAGCGTCTATGCTGAGGGCTGTGAGTTCGAATCTCAGAGTGAGCGCGGATAATTCTCAATTTTTCTCTTTGCCATAATTTTTTTTTCTTGTTTATTTACCAGTCGCATAGCTAGCTGTATGCATTGGGAAGATGAATTTAGATGCATTTCGATGATTTTCAGAAAATGTAATATAATTTTGGTGATTTTCTGCTTATGAAACATTTTAGAACCAGTCTCCGAAATGCGGGGACTTTTTCGGAACGAATAGTACACTATAGTACAGCCCGGCTGTCAGCCGAGCAATCAGAGACAGAATTTCCGGCTGACAGCCGGCGTCAAACGTGCTAATCGGGTGGCCATTCTATACTTGGCATAATCTCTACATCAATAGTTCACCAGTTCACTAATATATATTCAATATATTTTTGAACCAGTCCATATATTATTATACACAATGTAGTATATTTAATTTGACCATTGAGAAGTAAGGGTGTATTTCATTACACAGACACTGCTGAATTTTAGGTTACATGCCATTGGATTGATATATAAAAAACACTTGTAAAGATGAAGTGAAATAAACTAGTAAAGTAGGGTGCATTGGGGCACAATGCAGCTTACTGGGTTAACTGGAATATATATTTATTAAACAATACACACCCTATACTTATATTTCAATTCACAGCATGATTTGGTATGCTTATGTCCATTTGACCCAAGTACCTTTCAGGAATGATATTTGAATCACACCTGTATTCATTGAACAAAGCTAATTTAAATGCACAGGACCAGGATGTACAGAAATAAATAAAAATATAGATATGTTTCCACAATATTAAAATGCAAAAGGTAATAATAATACATGTTTGTAAATAATCAGGAACTAATCTATTCTTGTCATCCATAAAGACTCACTTGTCCTTGGTAAAAGTTGTTTATTTTATTTATTATTGAAATTATGTACATAATTTTAGCCTTGCAATGTGCATAGGCAATTTTCCTGGGTATAGTGTCTACCTGAAATTTTTGTGAACAATAAAGTTTGGAGGGTTTTATCCCTCAGAGAGATAATCTTCTAGGCGAGCCAGCCCAGGTACGCGAGTTGATTATATTTCGGGAACTCCGGTCGAAATATATGAGAATACTAGCGGTATGGCTTACCAATCTGTGCTTCACATAGATTGGTAAGCCATACCGCTAGTATTCTCAAATATTTCTCCCTTCGTTCCCTCGTATAACCTAAATTATACCTGCAGGCTGGAACAGCCCTAGTATAATTTGAATTTCATCCCATGTTTACAAGAGACTTTGGAGGTGGGCAGGCTCGCCACAACAGATCACTGGTATCACTGCTATAAATAGTATAATATAATATTTTTTATTTCTGAAGATCTTGCCTAGACAGGCCAGCCCAGTTCCATAAAAATGCAAGATAAATATTAGTTTAAATTACATAGTGACGTTTAGATCTCAGCAAAGCGACCTAGCTCGGGTATCCAGCTGGCTTGAATACCCCCTAAGGAAATGAAGAAATGTTATTTACATCAATAGATTGATGTGAATAGAGTATTATTTAATGCCCAGCTGTTATCCAAGATCTAAGGCATGGAAAAAAGAGTCTTGGCTAGGAAGCTAGGCTAGCCCAACTGGAAAGAAGGTTTATGTAACTAATGCATATTGCTAGATATAGTGATGCCAGATTACTTTAAATTTCTAGTGCCTGCCTGGCCAAATATAAGTTAATAAATTATCCCTTCTCCAAGTGCTTGGTAATGAGTGGCAGCTCAAATAGGATTAGAGCTTATTAAGGTGATGATGTGTCATGACAATATGTTGTTAAACCTCAAATGGCTCGACCAATTCATGTCTCTAGGTGGCATGACTTTGAGATTTGCTTGTGTGAATATAATTTTTTGCTTAGTACCTTTGTTCCAGCAAGCCCATGCATATGCTTGCCTCAACAGTGTCATATATATTGAAACACCAAGCAAGCTTCTTGTATTGTAGCTGTAATCAATTGGGGCTATGTACTGTATGGCCACCATTTGCTAATGTAAATACTTTAATAACAATAAAGTGATTAAAAAAAATATGGCTAATCTAGGCTGGGTTAACTCCATATAAACAGACCAAAAGTAGGCTGTCAGTCTGTCTTAGAGTGAAAGACATCTTCCAAAAGTTTTTTTTTTATAAAGCTCAATGTCATGATAGAAAAAATTTATTATAATACAAGAAAATGGAACGTAGCATAGTTCATAGAATAGATGGTTTGGAAACTCATTAGAATAACAATATAACTCATTATCTATGTTAGTCAACGTTTACAGAGGTGTAACTTAAGTCGAGTTTTTTGTGGCAAGAGGCAACTTGCCCAATCGTAAAAGCAAGTTACTTGCCCATCATGATATTAACGTTATTAAGTAAATGTTTTATCTTGCTTGCACGACTTTCATTATCGGATAAATTTTTTATGGTGCATGTACTTGATTCAAATTTTGTTTTTTGTGGGCCAAAGCTAGATCTAAGGCAGTATAACATAGTCATATAGAGCAGTGGGAGAATGAGTCGACATGTTGCCCCCTTGATTTATACCCCTGGCAAATGAATTTTATTCAGGGCAACTAATTTTCATGTCCAATTAACTTGCCCTGAGAGCAAGTGGTCAAAAAAGTAAAGTTACACCACTGGTTTATTCATAAATCTGGTCTCTGTATTTTTGCCCAACCAACCAATAGCAATGTCTTAGGAAAGTTGCCTATCCATGACTCGAACAATAGGGTAAATTGAAAATTGCAAGAATACAAGGTGGATTTGGCAAAAATACAATACACACATGACAATGAAGGACCAGATTTATTAATAAATGTTGACTAACATAAATGAGTTTCAGCCAAACCATCTATTCTATCAAGCCATCTAGTACAATAACTGTATATAACATGAAGTTTCCTGAACAAAATGGCGGAAATTTTAATTTTAAAATGTTGATGTTTGATCGTAAAATACAAAAAAACTGCAGGTTTGTGCAAGTGACAACAAGTGAATTCGTACTCACGTATAAAAATCTATAGATTCATGTGAATTTAAAGTAGTGCCCAAAGGGGGGCAACAAAACTGAACGAAAAGTGGTCAGGGAATATGGCTTATAAGTTAAATTTTAATATATGCCCTGTGCATTTTTGTGTAATATTGACAGAGAGAGCTGCGTTTAAATTTGAGTAACCATTTTTGAAAGTGTCAAGAATTAGCCAAAAACGGCCTATCAAACATTAATACAGCAATAACCTGTGTTTAGACACACTATAGTCAGAAAGTACACGTTCGTTTTCAGAGACCTGACCAACGCCACCGGTATAACCTCAAGAGCATTATTTGCCCTTATTTCATGATTGACTCGGTTTTCTTTGATGTACCGCGGGCTTTATCTACCATAAAGCCCTTGAATACCATAAAGCCCTAATTAGTCAAGAAATAAGGGAGAAAACTAGAAAAATACTTGTTGAAATCGAAAAAAAAAGAATAAAACTTTGTTAGAAAACCTCTTCAGTCATGAAATAAGTCAGTTAAATACCTCGAATAGCATAAAGCCCTCCTTCTCGGTATTTAACTCTTACTTACATATTCTAAACATATTGAAACTCTTTGGTCCTTTGTTAAACAAGGCGTATTTATAAAAAAAAACATGCAACATTTCTTTGTTGGAACATTAGAATTTGATTTCCATGTAGGGTATGAATAAATCTTTTAATCAAAATTGCATCATAAATTAATTTTCATGCATTTGCAAAGACCTTAAAAGAAAAATAAAGGAGCACACCATCCAATATTTTTAATTTAAACTTCACTTCATTGAAAAGAATATTTATGATAAAATGGTAACGGTTATCAAATTAGTTTAACAGGCCGTCTTTAGCTATAATTCTTGACACTTCCCAAAATGTTTATTCAAGCTTAAATGCAGCTTTCTCAGTCAATATTGCACAAAAATGCACAGGGCATATATCAAAATTTAACCCATTAAGTGCCAGCACTCTCCCCTTGACGAGTAAAATTGTCTGGCATTAGACAGAGTAAAATACTAAAGTAGGGTGCATCAGGGTGCAATGCGACTCAATGGGTTAAGTTAGACAATACTGAATACAATGCACATAGTTTAGGTGTAATAGCTCGTTAAAATAAATCAAACGGGCAACTGATGCTTGTAGTGTGTACAGTGTAAATAAAGTAGAATAGTTGTAACTTGTAAGTTGAGTAAACAGAGTTATCTCAAAATGTTGAAATATTTTCTGGAAAATTTTCTGCGAAACCCTCGACTCTCATCGCACTCCCAGAAAAATTTCTGGGAACCGATACTTTTTCCACCTCTGCCTTAATCTTTATTGAGAAAGAATTGATACAGAATACAGTTGTTTAGTTTACCATTTACTTATTCTTTCATTATTGTTCAAGTTTAAACATTAAAAATACACTTATTTGGCCATTTACATTGTTCTTCTAAGATTACTACTCTGTTCAGTGAAAGCAGCGCCATTGAAAGCTCTGCCATTATGTTCACGACATGTACGAAAAGCCGAAAGCTGTGCAAAAAACTGTGATGTGGACAACCTTAACAGGGCCTTGGGGGGACAAGATGACGTCTATTAAATTTCCTCTTAAATTTTGTCGGGTACTTCAAGGATGTGTTTTAGGTAGTCGATTATGTTTTTTTTTGCATTGTGATTAAAAGCGGGAAATTTTCCTAGTTCTGCTCTGCAAGCCATATTGGTAGCCTTTCTGTTTACTCCCAGATATAGCTTACAGAACCTTAGGTGGGGTTTTTCTGTTTGTGAATTGTCCCACTTATTGTAGTCATTTTTTTGGTATGCTCCTCAAACTTCAGTTATATAATAGAATGGGGGAGATAACTCCATTAAAAATTTTGATAGCTGTCTTGGGTGATAGTGAACTAATGTCAAGTTGTCTGTGAATTTTGTGTAAAGCATGTAATGCCTTTTCACTAAGTTGCTTTTGTGCAAGTTTAAATTTACCATTTGGTTCTAATTTAAGGCCAAGATAAGTATATTCTTTAGTAATTTCAACAGTATTGTTACCAATAGAAAAATTCAGTTTTAGAATTTTAGAGTTATGTTTTTGGAAGATAATGATTTTTGTTTTTTTTCATATTTACTTCCATTAGGCGTAAAAAAAACCTGTGGTTCCGGTTCCCGACCGACCCTATTATTTTTTCAACACCATTGACCATGCGACCCTATTTTCTCCAGGTGGTTGCGGGCTCCTCATACAGCGTGCCAAAATGGCGTCTGATGTCACACTAATTATTGAACCAAATTGCCTAAATTTGTCCATAGGAAATACGCATCTCTAGTTAATGTTGATGTCGGGACTCTATTGCAAATCGCCCAGCAAAAAAACGCCAAAACCATGAAAAAAATATTCAAGGAAAAAAAATTCCGACCTACCGACCCTAATTTTTTCACTATATGAAACCGGAACCACAGGTATTTTTTTTACGCCTTAGCCATTTTTTGCACCAATTATGAAGTTTATTCAAGCAGTTTTGAAGTCCTGATTTAGATTGTGATAGGATGATAAGATCATCAGCGTATAAAAGGCTATTTATTGCGGTTCCATTTGGGAATACATCATAAAAAATTAGTGGACATATTGACACTCATTTACATATATCAAACAAATTGAAATATCTCGGGAACAAGCCATAAAAATAAGAAACTGAAAAATAAGTTACACTACAGCTTAAAGAGTTCTTTTGTTTAAGAAAGTAAGAAATTTCATGTCATATGCACTTTAATATACAACCTTGACATACGCCTTTCTTATATTGGAAAAATAATGTTCTATAGTCTGATAGCACATTTTGTTTGAGTACATGTTTTTATTTAGTTTGTAAAAGCGTCCTCCTATTTCGTTTTCAAGTAGTTTTAAATATAAGCCTTTATGCCAGATTGAGTCAAACGCTTTTTTAAAAACAAAAAAACATGCATATATCTTTCCATTCTCACTTTGTTTTACATACAATATTGGAGTTATAATGCCTTCAGACTTAAAATGGCATTGAAGACTTGTAAGATATCCTTTTACGAGGATTCCAGTGCTAGATTTGATCATTTCATTTTCTTTAATTTCATATTTTTTCCTGCATTTAGTAGATCTGTATCAGTGATAGTTCTGTCAAGTTTATTAAACTGATCCTTGGTTTTTTTCATAGTTTTTTATGCATTCAAGATTTTCTTCTTGCGCATCACCTAATTTATGTTCAGAATGTAGTTTTTCAAAATAAGCCAACCATTCATCTTCTGCAGGCATATTTTTAGTTTCATTGAAATCTAGATTATCGGTACATGTTTTGAGTGATTTCCAGAATGAGATAGGGTCTTTTTCAGATGCTTTTTCTAATTCTTCAATTTTTTCCATGTGTAAAATCGTCTTTTTTGACTCTAAAGTTTCTTTATAGTTTTTAGGGCTTTGTGATATGAAGTTATTATTTCATTGTTACTTGGGTCTTTATGTTTCTGGTTAGCAAGTTTTCTTACTTCATGTCTCTTAAATCTACAATCTTTATCAAACCATTTTTTGTTTGCTAGATTATTAATTTTGTGTTAAAATTTTTAATTTTTTTTACTTTGAGTGATTTTTTTTTATGTTTCAAGTAGTATATTTTCAAACTCATGAACACATTTGTTAATACCCTCTTTCTTGTTTTGAAAAGTCATTTTTTAGAAAATCATTGAACTTTCTTTGGATTTCATTTGATTTACTGTTTGATGAAGGTCTCTTTGAATCAGCTGTCCAAATATACTGACATGGTAGTTTTTGAGTGATGGTTGACTTGGGTTATCTTTGGTTGCTTCAACTATTTTGTGTATATTAATCCAAGTAACAATTTGACTATGGTCAGATAAATAAGTGCAATAAGTTTTGGTTGCAGATTATTTAGTCAATAACACTTGTTCCATTTTTTCTATGGAAAATAGGTCTTCCTAGCGAGTCACCCTTGGTTCTACCATTTAAGATTCTCATGTCACTGTTTTTGCAAATATTTATAAGTTGCTTTCCATGGTTGTTTATGATTCCATCGATGTTTTGTCTTTCTAAAGGTTGTAAGGAATGTTCATTGATATTATAAACATGCTTATTTCCTTTATTCGAAATGTAGTCTTCTAGTTTACTTGTCCTAGCATTAAAATCTCCAAGGAGTATAGTATTGCCTTTTGATGAAAGAGAAATTAGGTCGTTCCCAAGTTCATCAAATATCTCGGGTTCAAAATATTTTGATTTTTCAAGTGGTATAACATATAGGCCATGGGCTGACTCCCCAAAAAGTGGCTGAAAATCAACTACTAACATTTCTTAACGCCTACCTACAGATTTCAATGCGCTGAGTTCGATTTTTTTTTGTTCCCACTCGCGAAAACCTGCAGTTATTTTGTAATTTATCTATGAATTTCCATATCATAGCCAATTACGCAATTTGCGGCGTCTTTGATCATGTCTGATTTTACATGAAGTTTTACGCATGTTTCCGATTTGCAAATATGGCGGAGATGAGCTTGAGTGATTTTCCTTCATGTTTAATTCATTTCGAGGGAAAATCAGGGGAATTATGCAAATTAACCACTTATACTCTTGTAAAATTAAAGATATTGTAATAAGTGGGTAAATTTGGATGGATAGCAGAAAGAAATTGCTAGTAAATTAGTAAATGTTGTGAGACAATGGCCAGACATCGAGCCAGAATTGTTGCCTACAGGAACTGGTGATTTATATTATCACAAAGAGTGCTACGTGCGGTTTTGTGACAAGAGCAAGGTCCGAAACTCGAACAAGCAAGATCAAGGAAAAAAGTTATGCGACCGAGAAAGGGAAGCAAAGCGATCAAGCCAATGAACAAGAGAGCATTTACAACCTATGCGCTCATCAGCTCGGATGTAATGCCAGAATTATGCATTATGTAAAAGAAAAGATGCATACATAACGGACAAGGTACTGTTTCTTTTTTACTATAAATGATCACCCAAGACAATTTGATGACTTTAGAATTAATAGTTGTTATTCTTAACACAGAAAACAAGAAAAAGAAAGCTAGACAAGCTGGTCAAAGCAGAGACGTTTGATGGTGGCTTATTATGGCAAGCTGCTGAGGGAAAAAATGATGATTCAATTTTGACACACATCAGGGGGAAAGACTGTGTAGCCATTGAGGTAATAATGAAGCAAAAAAAAATTAAAAGGATGGGAGAATTACATAAGAAATTTGTTAAGCAAGTGCAGATAACTGAAAACGTTGATGCCAGCAATTATAGAGTATTTCGTCTCAAATCAAGACTTATGAGAGACTATCCCCAACTTGTGTTCCATCGTCCGCAAGCAAGAAACCAAAGTGAATTTGTTTTCATTGAAGAAATGTCTGTTGGTCAAGTTTTTGAAAGCAATTCCAGTAAACTAGAACAGTCCAACAAGTACAGTGGATCTGATGAAAGTACTGGAACCAGTGACGAGATGGAGATTGGGTGTCAAGAACCAGCTTTACAAAAGGATGTTACTTTAAAAGAGTTATATGACGTTGCAGCAGCTTTACGAATGAATTCAAAGACATGCAAATGCCCTGGCCACCCATATCTACTGACTTTTCACAGGACCAAGTACTACACAAATGATTCCTGTGAAGTTATTTAATTTTATTAGTTGGTGTTTTGGCTTTTCTGATGAACCTGAAATGAATTCGCATGTTACACTTAACGAAGGACATTTGAAAAAGGTCCTATCCATATATGCCAGGACATGCTATTTATCAATTCAAATGGGAGAATTGCCATTTCATCTTGGCAAAAAGAAGACACCCAATTTCTCAGATATTGGTATGGAGAGTGAGGAAGAAAGTAGATATTGGGAAGTGCATCAGGAACTTGCAAGAAGATTAGACTTTGCTTACACACTTATGAAGATGCATCAATCTGAAGTGGATTTGCTACCTGGATGGACCGGCTTTAACATGCTTCTACGGAGATCTAACATACCACCTCAATCTAAAATACGATACTTGCCCATAATTGATGGTTCCCCTAGTGAATACTCTACTTTGTACACTGCTCTTCAACAGAGTATAAACATAGCAGATGAACTTTTATTGGAACGAATTGTATTGATCTTTGATGAGGCTATATATGCCAAATTCCAACAAATCGGATGGAAGAACAAAATATTCATGTCCCGATTCATTGTTAGACTCAGGGACTTTCATACTACAATGTCATTTTTGAGTGCTATTGGGGTGCTATTCAGAGATGCAGGATTACAGGTATGTTTCATGCAATAAATTAAAGTGTTGACATGCTTTCAAGTCATGCATAAAAATAAAGATGGAAACTGTTGGTAAACAGTGTGTTAACCAACAAAGGAAAGACTTAGATGAAACCCAAAAAGCTCATCATGAAAAAGAGGTTGAAAATGTGAAGACAACACTTCAGAATATGGTGAATCCATCTGAACCTGGTCGAACAGAATTGGTGCATTTTACAAGTGGTCTTGTAGGCACAGAAAATGTAAGAACTGATCTTTTGAAAGCAAACCACATTGGAGAAGAGCGCTTGAAAAGTTTCATTACGGACAGATTATTTGTACCGAGCCAGATATCTTTGCTACAATTCCAAAGGTTAAACTGAAAACGTTTTCATCAATGACAAAGAAAGTGAAAGTCTCTTCAAAGAGTGGCGCAGATGCCACACTTAAGAGCAATCGGAACCTTTTTGCTCACATGCTCTTGCTTGCCCAAAGTAGAGAGATTGATATGAAAGAAGTTCTGTCCTTTTGTTTGGGTCCTTTCCTTTTATCACTTTCGATGGAAATGGGGCTGTTGCATAAGATGCCAAAGAGTAAGCTTATGGGGCTTTTGGAGTCAAGTACCGTTGATCCATGCGTGGAAAGTGTTCCTGAAGGAAATGCATGCTGGAGCACTCACAAGACATTCGATAAATTCTTCCAACACCGATTGATGAGTCGACGTCCATGAAACTGGGTGGTTAGCCACTGGTTTACCACGCTTGTTCTTCGAGTCATTTTCCGACACCTTCGCGAGATCGTAAATCGGCTTGGCAATCCTTGAGAAATTGGCAATATACTGCCGATAATAGTTCAAGAATCCCCATTAACTTTCGAACTTCGTTCACTGTCTTAGGTGGTGTAGCTTTGAGGCGTAAAATCGGGGCAATAGTTGAGGGGTCAAGTTTGTACCCTTCGCCAGAGACTACTCGCCCCAGGAAAACAACTTCTTTCTTAAACATATTGCACTTTTTGGGTTTTAATTTAACACCATGTTCCTTAAGACGTTGAAAGACTTTTCGTAAGTGTTCAATATGGTCGTTAAAATTAAAACTGAAAACTATGATATCATCAAGATATGGAATACAGATTTCATCTCGGAGGTCACCTAAACACGACTCCATAAAACGCTGAAAAGAAGCTGGGGCATTGGAAAGGCCAAATGGGATGTGGACCCAGTCGTACAATCCCCAAGGTGTGATGAATGCTGTGAGGGGTTGACTTTCGGGTTTCAGAAATCCTTGCTTGGTGGTAAGCTTTCCCGTGGTCAAGTATGGAGAACCAACAATTCCCTCCAAGATTGTCAAGAGTTTCCTGAATTCTCGGGATGGGGTGGCGATCTATCTGCGTTTTCCTGTTCAGTTCGCGATAATCAACACACAGTCTTAAAGTTTGGTCTTTTTTCCTCACACAAACTACGGGTGAGCTATATGGTGAATTGGACTTACGAATAAAATTTCGATTTAGGAGGTCTTCAATGTATGCCTTCACCTCCGGGTAGAGAGAGAGAGGCACAGCAACGTAGTTCTTTTGGACAGGTTTAGTGTCATTCAGCTGAATGTTCATTTGCAGATGAGGGATATGACCAACGTCATCATCGTTCTTAGCAAACGCATCGGCTTGTTCGACCAGCAATTTTGACGCCAGGTTCCTCTGCTCCTCTGTCAAGCCGCCTAAATCTTTCAGGTGTTCTGGTAAATTCACTGGTGAATTATCTTGTATTGTGCTGCTCTTGCAAGCACGTGGTTCATTGTTTTTATCGGATAGTACAGTGTCAGAGGGATTGTCCTTAAATTTGACATCTATTGGGATGATTAGTGCACGCAAATTAAATTGTTTCTCTTGACGTGTGAGAAGTGTATACTTGATACATACCAGGGAGTATTTATTTTCCTGTGTTTCATATTTTTTGAGCTGATTTCGCTGTGCCGTAATGGTCTCCTTTAACTATATTGAACATTTGATGATAGCTATACATAAGTTAAGAACTCACAAAAACATGAGCTGAAAATGTGTGCACTCGTAATATATGTTTGCATGAAAGATGATGATAATAATTTGTGTTCATTAGGTTTTGTGTAATTACCTGTTCCATTTCTGTTAGGCATTTCTATAAATGAATGATAATGCTATGTTAAAAAATATATATATATATATATAAGTGTGCGAACAGTACAAAGAAAAAAGCAATAAAAAATAAATTATATGCAACCTTTCCTGTTGGAATATACCGGGTGTCCCAAAAAAAGTACTCTGGTTTGATTCGTAATAACTTCTAAACAAGTAAACCTTTTAAAGAGAAATAACTTGCATCAAATAGAGGAAGGACTAACTTAGATTTTGATATATTACAGTTGTATTTCACTTAAAAATTCACAGAGATATTGTTTAAAATCGGGAGCATATTTCTGGATGCGTCTGAAATATGCAAAAAACGGCGTATCAAATATTAATCAAGATTTGCCTGACTGAAACATGCACGATTACCAGTAAATAAATGACACTTGACAAATTGTTTATTATGAAACAAAGTCTGTATTATTATCTACAAAATACAAGCAATATTTATTTGTCCGAAATCTGTGTGTGTTCCTAGCACGAATACGTTTCCTTATTTCATGAGACCACTGCATTGCGAAGGATCGTCATGGATCGTTCGTAGTTCTGAATTAGGGCATGCTGTCACAATGGAATTGTGAAGCTCTTCTAACTTCTGCAATGTTCTGAAATCTTGTTAAGAACACTCAAACACTCATTTGCCTTTTCTTAATCTTTTTAAGTTCACAATAAACTGAGAATGAAACACAATCAAACCATACAACTCCATAAGACATAACAATTAAGCATGCAACTCCCTGGAGACATCCAACATTTTTGGAACAAAACGTAACAAAATAGTAGCGTTGATACTGTGATGTGTATTTGCAAAAAGCAATATTATTTCCTTCATTGCAGAATAATATTCATCCTGCTCTAACCGAGAAATAATCAACTCTGTTTTGCACCCATTAATTGTTTTGAACCCATTAAGCACCTGCCTTGCATGGTCTTTCATGTACCTTATAAATTTGTAAAGTTTGTAAAGACCTATTAAATACTTGCATAATTTCGTATGTTCATATTTCAGGAAAAAATGAGCTAAGACTTAGCTTACATGTAAGAAGTCTAAATATACGCCATATCCCTTACAAACCCTAACGACAATTCTCTGAAAAACAAGTTAGCCTGATATGCCATCAAGCAAACAAACGCTGAAGTTAATATTTGATATGCCGATTTTCGCTAATTTTAGACACATCCCAAAAAAAAGCTTCCGATTTTGAACTTTAATATCTCCGTGAATTTTTAAGTAAAATACAACTGTAATATATAAAAATCTACGTTAGTCCTTCCTCTATTTAATGCAAGTTATTTCTGTTTGATAGCTTTACTTGTTTAGAAGTTATTATACATCAAACCGGAGTACTTTTTTTGGGACACCCGGTAGTTTAACTCTGTTGAAGTCTTTTGTTCGTCCTGTACAGCTCTAAGTAATTCATACGACTCTTCTGGACTTTTGCCATTCAAAAACTTGAAAAAACTCTGGGTTATTGTTGGAGCTTCAGTGACATGAGGTAACTCTCCGGCAAGAATTTTTTTTCAATTTGTAGGACCAAGTCAAAACAATTCTCAGGCAATTGCACGATCACTTCGTAATTTCTCAGAACCTTAATAAAATAAATCAAAACAACTTTATATAATTAGTAACTTCGCTTACATATTTGTCAGGATCTTCATAGACATTAATTTATCAATGAAGTTGAATAATTGTTATATGGTACGTGTTTGAAAACTGACACACCACCAAAATTATTTGGCGAAACATTTTACTTACCACTTTAGTTCCATAAATGTTTTTGTTCTCTGTTTTCCATTTTTGCATGACCTTTTTAATATCCCTGTTGCATCCTTCTTTGTCTCCAATATTTTCTATGCGCACCATATATCTTCCTTGCATTTCTCGAACTGCAGACAGAAACGATGGTGGGTGTGTTGTATGTTCCGAACTGATGTTCCGTGGATTTTTGGCGCTCGCTGGCAGTATAATCTATTGCCTTGCATCATTCATATTTATATTTATTTGAGGTCCCAAAGCATCCATTCTCGATATATATATATATATATATATATATTATATGTTAAGATGAAAATGTTCTAGAGTGTGTATTATATAATTTCCATACCCAACGCAAGCAAAAAGATGTTGTCTGCCGCGGCTGGGTCTCGAACCCGCAACCTTCGAATTCCTAGATCGACGCTCTACCTACTGAGCTACACGGTCAGACGGATTTAAGACTGGAAATTATGAAATATATACTGAATGTCATAAACATACTCGTTTATATTAATTCAGCATTGAACAATACTAGTTCTGCAAGTGTTATGTTAGTTGTGTAATTGTACACTCTGTAATATGTTAAGATGAAAATGTTCTAGAGTGTGTATTATATAATTTCCATACCCAGCGCAAGCAGAAACTATGTTGTCTGCCGCGGCTGGGTCTCGAACCCGCAACCTTCGAATTACTAGATCGACACTCTACCAACTGAGCTACACGGTCAGACGGATTTAAGACTGGAAATTATGAAATATATACTGAATGTCATAAACATACTCGTTTATATTAATTCAGCAAGTTTCGAGGTCGAGGATAGAGGCCGGAAATGATGAGGTCTGAAGATTCCAATTTTAGATTCGAGATGAATGCGTTCGATTATATTGATTTAATAATCTATAAAACGCTTAGGTAGGAGCTAGAAGTCATTCATTCGTCTCGACTTTGCATAGATTGCAAATTAAAAACCAAATAGGTCACTATCATAAAAATACACAATCCATGTTTATATCATCGACATATCTATATGTATAGAGCTCATATTTATTAATTCATAGGCGGAGCACAAGACCACAAACACCAAAGCCACACATGCAATCTCGTATATATAACTGCATATATATCACTATAGACTTTGATGGTTTAGGAGGGAAACAGAAAGGCGGAGGAGGGGGAAAATTTTCGTTGCACTTTATTGCTCGCTTGCGATAACTATGGTAAAGATGTCAACTTGGAGAAGTCGACTAGCTTGCAGTCATCATGATAAGTGCAAGCTAGTCGAAACTTCAAATAAAAATGTTAACCGTTTTCGGAGTGTCCATTGTTTTGTATCTTTTTAAATTACTCAGTAGTAACCGTAACTTATGGAGAAGTCGAATTGTGGCAATTCTACTGATATCACTGTCACAAGCGTGTGTGTATGTGATCTCACATTTCATATAATTTATGCATGCATATCGCGAATTTTGCAAAACGAGTTCAGTGGCCAGCCAGTCACAATGAAAATGATTGAAAATGGTTTCTATTTTAAACCAATCCAACAACAAATGCGTACAGCGCGCATTTACGCACTAATTTTGAACACGAGGAGTATTCATTCCCACTTGCTTGCGACAGAATAGTGAACATAGTACTGCATTTAAGAAATTTCACAAACTTAAGTGACAATATTTTAAATTATACATCGCTTCAACAATGTCATTTCAACCATCGGTAGCAACAAACTGTCGGCTTGTGTATAGTCCTGATTGTAACAGCTCATCTAAACAAAATTGTGGCCTTCCGCAGAGCGGGACAATTCAGGTAATCATATATTTATGTATACATATATATTTGTACAATTTGTTTAGAAACAAAAATTTTTTGACTCTTATTCATTTTATTTCTATTCCAGAAACTAAGTAAGGAAAACAATGTTGAAACACTGACGGTAAGACAATCGCATTTAGTCATTCTATATTATGTATATGTGGACGATGTAGTGCTGAATACATGTATGTTTTTGTTACAACTATATTATTCATTTGTATACATATTCTTATCTAATATACTTTTAGTATTCAGTGATATGAACTTTCCTATAAAAATGCATTCCTCATGCACACACAGTTTTTATGAAATTTGTGATTTATATTATAGGCCCCATATGTTTCTTAAGAATTCGGCGTGGTCATATTACTTGCTTCCAGTATCATATTTACTCCAATAAACGTCCAAATAAAAATTAATTTTTAACCATCTCCATGTAATCCAAGGACAATGATCCGGAACAAATCCGGACCAGAGGATTAATTTGAACACGATCTTCTTTTGCGCCCGTACGCCACATAATGCCAGGAAGTAATTGAGAATATAAATGATTGCATTATAATAAAATACCAAAACGCACGTCATGTAAAGTGCATGCTACAATCACAAAAGAAAATAAAAATTTTGCATTCGAAAAATAATCATGCACCTCAGCCCACTGAGCCAAGCGATCATTTATTTATGCACTGATAAAAACGAGTAAAATAAAATATATAGAACGAAATCGACTGAACTTAAGTAGCCGGCATATTTTATGTTTACATTTTTGTTTTCGTTCACAAAATTCTGGCAAGCGTCTAATATAAAACCATATCTTCTCATAATAAACATATTTGATATTTCAGAAGATAAAAAATAAGCAAAGACTTCCAAAGTTATCTTTCAAGTCTGTAGCAAAAGTGCAGGGCAAACACTGCTGTTGTAAAAAATGTCTGCCGGGTGGAGAGACTGGCCTTTCCAAAAGCGACATCATGGCTTGCAGAAAAGAATTCTGGAAATTGGATGAGAATGAGCAGTGGAACTACATTTTGACTTTTTTTCACACGAATGCCATCAAGTCCTCCGGACGTCAGCAAAGACATGAAAGCCTCCCAATATATCTAGCTAAATGGCAGGCAAAGCCATCAGGATTTATATCTCTGGTTAGCTTTCTCACAGAGATAACTGCATTAATACTGTGTCTTAATTATTCAACAAAGGAGGTAGAAACTGCCCAGTGCCCACAGCAGGTAGAATTCCCATGCATGCAATATTGTATCTCAGACTAAATGTGTTTAGTCAATAAATACCTTATTATTATATGTATTTAACCTGATTTCTTAGGTTTTTTACTTTGAAGAATGACTTTGAAAATGGGTGAAACACATCAGATACAGCAAAAGGGTTGTTTCGAATGAGGTCTGACCATTCGATGGATGTCGAGCTATGGTTTGAAAATTATAGGGATACTTTAGCTGATAAAATGCCCGATAGCTGTTACTACCATCTTCCTTCATGTCAAACCAAAAAGACCGTATATACGACTTACGCGGAGGAGACAAATAAAAACGGCATGTACAAACCTCTATCCCATGCTCAATTCTTGCGAATGTGGAGGGAGAAATTTAAAAGAGTGATTATTCCAAAGGTAACATTACTCAATAGGCCTGCGAATCTGCTGTTGCATGCACACCGTTATTATACATATGAACTTCAGTTGTCTTTACAGATAGGTTCACTATCTCTACACAGTTTTAACTATATGCATATAGATCTAATAAGTGCAGCGAGTGATGCAGCAGGAAATTAGATTAACAAGCTAAGTCAAGCTCAAGCTAAATGAAGCACGGGAGGTTTTCGTCACAAGTCTTTTCATAATCGAAGTTGTACTGACATGCACTCACATAATACATGCATACAAATGCAATATTTTCAGTCATTGGAATACATAAAGACTATTCCTGCTGGAATCCCCCCCCCCCCCTGCACGCAATCGGCATGTTATGAATTTTATTTTATTTTTAAATTTCAGACAAGCAGGTTTTCCAAGTGTGAAGTGTGTGTTTTGCTCAAAGAAAAGAGCAGAGCACATCAGGAAAATCAGAGCGTGCATCTTGGCTGGAAAAGAAGCGTCTGCATATAGAACAACAATGGTAGATGATAAACAAACATGTGTGAAAAGAGCACAATGTCAATGGTTTTAAACAGTATCCAGTTCCAGTCAATAAAATTTGATACCTTTTCAAGTATTTTTACCTGAAAACACTTTTTACGTATTACCAACTGTGGATAGAGGCCCATTCCGCAAGTCCTTAAATTATTTATAGCTATTTTAATTTCATCTATCAACAGGGAAGAAAGAAAAAAATATTACCGCCACGTAAAGAAAAGCATTTCAAATCCAAAGAAATATTTAAGTCTTATTGTGGACGGAATGGACCAAGGAAAAACCCATCTTCCACATTACCTCCAAAAGTGGAAGGTATAACTTATTTCCTCTATCTATAGCCTCCAGCCAGCCTAGATGTATAGGACCTCCTCTACTGACTACTCGGTTGGCTTTGGCAGGTTCGGTAAATTTTGATGTAACATTTGGGCACGTTTGTTTCATTTCACAGGTGACGTCATACTATCAGATGCAAAGCCCAAATTTACCAAACCTGCCAAAGACATCCAAGTAAGATGCCTATAGAGTATAGGTCTAGTCGGGCTTAGAAACGGGGTATAACAATACGGAGGAAATGTCGCAGAGGATGGGGTGCCCTGGCAAAAAATTTATCAGGTTGGTCTTCACATGGGACTCATGTCCTGTTGACCATACCTTCAATCATTGTTATAAATAAATAAATAAATGTTTAGCCTACAACTCTTCTACGTATCCAGTTCAAAACAGCCAGAAAAATAAGTAAAAATAAGTTGTATAGCGTATCATTTGCATGCACTGTCATACTGTAATTATCTGGATTTTTGGTAGATCGAGAAAGGAAGCTCAGGTTTTCTCCCAATGTACATAACTGGTGTACTTGCCCATGGACAAGACCTAAAATTCTGCTTTGTTGATTTGTTGAAATGGCCTGCGGATGCAAACACAACATTTAATGTTATACTGGCAGTATTGAAATTCATAAAAGAAAAGGTATAGAAAAGAAAGTTTATTTAATAATTGTTTTAATTGGAATTTTAAAATGAGGCGCAAATTTGATGGAATTAAGGAAAAGCTATACAGCAAAAGTAAAAGTATAGTGTTAAAAAAATTCACCATTCTTAATATAGATTGGTGTGTCACCTCCAGTACTGTATTTGCAGATGGATAATTGCTTCCAAGACTGCAAAAACATTTATATATTTGGTTTCTGTGCTCTTCTTGTGAAAATGGGTGTGTTTAGAAAGGTGCAGTAAAATAAATAACGATGTGCTATATTATTACCGTATAAAGCATTCTCATGAACGATCAGCATTTGTTGAAAAAGTTACCCCCAAATTGTCATAAAAACGATTGTTCTTATTAATATTATAATTAAAACTATAAAACAAGATAAACCAAGTATACTTAAACCAGTAATAAAGTATCATTGCACTAGATATACCAAATGGCTAACAAACAAAACAGGCACGTACATGTGCAACTTTTAAAATTATCACATGATTATATTGACTATATTTCAGGTTAAATTGTCCTACTTAATGGTCGGTCATACACATGAGGATGTTGACCAGGTATGATGGTGGACATTTAGTTGATAAATGTGATGATGAACATCATACACATAACGAAAAACATTCTCAATGATCTCCTTATGTCTTTAGATGTTCAGTAGTATATCCGCCACGTTAGGAAGACAGTCCGCTCATACACTGCAATCCCATGCGTCTTTTACACCAGATCCAATTACTGCAGACCTTTCTACTATATGGGATGTGAAGTCATGGTTACAACCGTATAATCCAGCGCTAAAAAAACATTCCCGTCACCATTCCTTCAGATTTCAGAAAGGCAAGGGCAAATATGCTGAGCACATCGAAATGTGTTACCGCAATTGGTCCAAATGTAAGTGGAAGGAATGGCCACCAACCAAACCAGAAGACATAATTCGTACCCTTGATGTTGTACCAACTGGATCCCCATCCATATTGCGACCAGTGTATAGCAAGTGTCCCAGCGTTGATGATATGAGGTCTGGGGATTACAGCAATTCAGCTCCAGACTTTCTGTTGACGAATCGAATTGGTTGCTAAATTTTATCAAGACGGAAGAGGAACAACGCCTGTCTTGGGAACGACGTAGTGACGAAGAACTACAAACAGCTGGAAAATCGTCTTTTTCCCTAAAAGATTTAGCGTATCGGGAAGTCAAGAATGACATGGAATTGATGTCCGACGAGGCTACTGAGAAGAGAATAACTGAGCTTGAGAGGCTGATGGATAAAAACAATACTTTCCCAGAGGTACGTCTTGTGTTGTGGTTAACACACTTCATCTATGATCTGAAAGCTAATTTTCAGGATCAAAAGATGGCAAAACATTCGCCAAACAGACCACTTCAATGGTTCGGTCTGGCAATGCACATAAGCACATTCAATAAAGTATTAATAGCCCCACATATGGCATGTAAAGTGTGACGATCGAAGACAGACTGCCAACTAAGCTAATTTTATTATTACGTCAATAAAATAGGTCTAGAGTGTCAAGTTGCCTGGGGGGAACGATATGACATTACATCTGTTTTGTGAAACTATACTGCAATACTGCATGACTCATCATTCATCAAAACAGCAAACCATTTCGTTTAACACTACAGATTGCAATCGTCTATTAGCCTGGCATACCTACTATGCAGTTGTAATATTTGATAATACTCTATATCTGTTTTATCTTGTATAGATCAAAGAGATCAAAAGAAAGAGAAAATCACTGTTTCAGATGTCCCGACACCTTAGTTACTATTAGACTGTATTAGTATGTTATTATCTGACTTGTCCCCAGTCGTCTCTAAAGGTCTTGGAAATGGAGCCCGAGAAATTGCTTGAAAATTTAAAACAAAGGCAAAGCAATCAAATCTGAATTAATTTGAGAATTGAGATATCGCGATTCGTGAGACACACGCAAATGCAGAAATCACGTGCGGGGAGTGGGAGATTTTTACTTCTTTTTAATTCAGCTTTGATTGCTTTGCCTTCGTTTTAATTTCCAAGACCTTTAAAGACGACTGGGGACGAGTCAGTGTTATTATCATTAGACTGGCGATAATGGTATACAGAAACGCATGAAGAGAAGATTTCAAACACTGACATCACAAATCCTTAGAGTGTCCTCCCTAACAATATCTGTTTGGGTACAACAACCACATACAGCGCAAAAATTACCCATTTTAATTATTATAAACTTTTAAAAAAATTGCTTTGTTTTACAGCAATTATATTATGTATAGATTGCAGTTTGACCTCGCGAAAATTAACCATTTTAATTATTATAAACTTTTAAAAAAATCATTTGTCATGTGCAATGGGTCAATATAGGCAACTGAAAAAAATCATTGGAGCGGGATTTGATCTCGCGCAACACTCTTTCAAAGGCATAGTACGGTTCATCGCTCTATATCTCGCTGCGAGTTCTTTCCAGCGAGTTGGTTTTTAAATTAATACACAATATAGAATGTTGAACGATGAACTGTCAGTGAAATCTTAAATGTGACGTCATTGTGATAACACCTGCTGACGGACAGTTAACAGCTATCCTGATTTTAGGCACAACACAATTTTATTGTAAATTCACAGTTAGAATGCATGTTTTATATCAATTGAAGGCTCATATATATAAGAGACTATACCAAAAAGTTATGTATATATGTATATATTATAAATAATTAATATATGTCTTAACCACATTTCAACACCAACATTCTACTGTATATACTATAACTAAATATTACACGACTGTAAATAAAACAAAAATTTAGTATAGCCTGTCAATTGCCCAAACAAACATAAGAGTGAGCTTATTTTTTATAATAAAGTCGTAGGAGAGCGTTCTAAACTCTTGTATGGAGAGTTGCAATACAAACAACAAACCTCTGGCTAATGTGAGTTAATCTGAGTTGTTGGGCATTGTATTCATGTACTTAAAGAGTGAGTATCATGCCCGCAATAATTTATTGTGATTCATGTTAACCTAAGATTTCCGCTTGGTTATTACCTCTTTGACATTAGATATAGCCTATAAACATAAAACTTTTACGTATTCGCAGTATATTGATTATTGTTACAATTCAAAGTAGATTCTGATTGTTCAGATTCAGCCACTGATTCAAGGCATGCAACTAGTCCGTATCCTGTAATCCTGATCAAATTAGACTGAAACACAGGATCATAAAACTTGGCACAAACTGTTCAAGATTTATAACACAGGATTGGTTAAACACGGAAATCAGTTCTCGGTAGTAAACACAGAGCATATTTGATTGGTCCGCCGATGAAACCTTTTCAAGGTTAATACAACAGGTTATTGAGTGCTGCATCGCAGTGTCAGATTACAAACTGTATTCCATCTTTTAAATTGCCTATTGGTGATGGAATGACAAAAATTTTCGCTGTTTCGTCAATTCCCAATTAAACAATACGGCGTGTGATTAATTTAATCACGGAAATGAGTTATTCGTGTAAAATACTTGATTTGTCCGCAGATGAAACCTTTTGCATTCACAGTTATATATTGATTATAGAAGTCTCAAATAATAGCCTGTTAAGGTTTCTGGTAGGCCCCTATACCATAACATTAATCTAATTTTTTTAAATGTAAATATTTACATGTTATAATATATGGGCATGCAACAATAAAAAAATATTGTTACAACTCAATGTAGATTCTGATTGTTCAGATTAAGCCATTCAAGACATGCAATCGTATCCTGTTATCCTGATTAAATTGGACTGAAATACATATTAACACAGGATCATAAAATTTGGCACAAACCCTTCAAGTTTTATAACACAGGATGTTGACTAAACACGCAGTTGGTCACTGATACCAGGCCTGATCACCACCGAATGAACCACACAAACGTGATTGGTTAACAACGGAAATCAGTTCTCAACACAGAGCATATTTGATTGGTCTGCAGATGAAACCTTTTGCATTCGCAGTATATATTGAGTATTTTTACAATTCAATGTAGATTCAGATTGTTCAGATTCAGCCATTCAAGACATGCAACTGTATCCTGTAATCCTGATGAAATTGGACTGAAATACATATTAATACAGGATCATAAAATTTGGCACAAACCCTTCAGGATTTATAGCACAGGATGTTGACTAAACATGCAGTTGGTCGCTGATACCAGGCCCGATAACTACCGAATGAACAACATGCTCGTGATTGGTTAACAACGGAAATTCTCAACACAGTTCTCAACACAGAGCATATTTGGTTGGTCCGTGGATGAAACCTTTTCATGAAGATTAATATATAACATGTTATTTTTGTGCTGTGTCACAGTATATTAAAATTCAATATGGAATCTGATTGGTCAGATTACAAAATGTATTTCATGCCCTCGCCAATAGGTAGTTTTAAAAGATGACAAGATTTTGGTGTTTTGTGTTGGTTTGACTATTAAATGATAATTGGTTTCTCAACACTCGTCATTGTAGTGAACCTGTGATCATGTACAGATCACAGACAAAATGGATAATATTTAAAATATTTTCTACAATGAACTTCATATCCACGGGATTCGTTAAAGCGTTAAAAATGTGGAAAACTATATTCTACACTTACATTGTGCATGTGCCGTGTCGCTATCTGTGTTCATAGACATAGTACTTTATGTATTTGGTCAGAATGGTCACCCCAGTGAATTTCTCTGGTTGGTGAATTTAACTGTTTGGTCCTGGTCTTAATTGTCCATATCGCTGGTTATAAGGTACGGACACACATTATATATCTACCATCTCTGAAACTTTGCTATATTACATGAGTGCCGCACACACACTTCGCGCCAAAAAGCATGCCATGCAAAAAGCGCGCGTTATTATTCAATTAAAATTGATCTTAGCTTTAGCCTTTGCCCTGGCATTACAATTAATACAAAATAATATAGGCTTGATATAAGCTGAATTATTGAAATATGAAATTCGCTGAGTTAACTTTGAACATTTCAAGTTTCAATTTAGCTAAGTAGTTTAATATCGATAGTCTAAACATGAATAATAGTCTAGTATTATAGCAACTAAAAACTGAATCTCTTGTATGCGGTCTTGGTATTATGTGATGAAATGGAAGTAATGAATATATGAAATAGTATATCTTCTAATTGAATGGAAGGCTTTATATATCTGAGGGTAAAACTTGATAGTTTAGCACAACTCAATTTAATGGATCAATTTGCTACAATATTAATTAATACTCTTTTGGTTATTGCACAAAGGGTTCATATTTCTTGCTACTCAATTAAATTAACACCAGACAACAGACATATGGGGAGGAAACAGTATTGACATATGAAATTACAAGCTGTTGACAGCCTTATTTGAAACAAAGTAGCTGATTGGCTAAAAACGGAAATCAGTTCTTGATATTCTAATTTGATTGGTCCATGCATGAAACCTTTTCAAGACTAAAACAGCACTGCATAATTCTGTAATCCTATTGGTCCAAAAGTGAACTGCTTTTCTGGCGTGAAAGGTCAAACTTGTAATGTCTGGTTCTTAATTATTCTTGTCTGGTTTGTTTTAACTGTTAATAATACTGTATTACTGTCTAACGATATATTATTTTTACAGTACATTTAATATCAATGCAATTTGATTCCAAATTTGTATTTGAATATTGTCAGAAAGAACATGTCATGTAACAAAAAATGTACCGTCTGGTACTTTGCTTCGAACTAACACGAAGCATATTATTTTCAATTCAAAACTAAGTCCAAAATCCAAATAACTCAAAACTCTTTTATACCAGGTGTTCAAAAAAAAACTGGACACTGTTTGATTTCATACAACGTAAAATCATACGTAAAATCATACGCATTTTCATAATTTACAATTTCACAATTTCAATAACGTAAAATCATATGCAATATCATATCAAACAGTGTCCAGTTTTTTTTGGGACACCCGGTACTTTATTGTCAGCACTCGGCATAATATAGTAGCTATTACTCCGCTGAGTCCGCTTCGACCAAATCGGTCTGCTCATTTGGCTCCAAAGCCTTCCAGGCACTTCCTGCCATATAGCTTTGGATGCACAGCAAGGCGTTTAGATTACGTGGAGCTAGACGCATACGCCTAAGGTTGATTGTCCACCCCGCTTGCGAGAAACTTCTCTCTGATGGAGCGCTGCTAGCTGGGCAAGCCAAAATAAGCCTGGCAACCAGTGCTAATTTCGGGTAGACCCTGGCATGATCCCTCCAGAACTTCAGAATATCAAGGTGCTTGTTTTTATCCTCGTACAGGTCAAGGTCGAAGTCGTTTCCAGTAAACCTTCGAAATTCGTCGACAATCGATGATACCTTTTGCTTTTCCTTATAAAAGGCAAACTCGGGTTCTTCGATCTCATCACAAGGATTCTTCTTCCTTTTCGGAGTGGGGGACTTAATTTCTGAGACCTTATGTAATAACAATAAGAAAACAATATAAATTTGTAACGTTATTCCAAAAATGCAACAAAACATATCGATAATATTTACAGAATAACAATATTAAAATCTTGAAATCCAGCGGTAATTTGTGTTTAGTTACCTCTTCTGAGTCTTCTCCGTCAGACAAAAGCGAATGGTCGTTATCATCACGAGTTTCGTCGCCATCTACACCTGTGATACGATCGTGAACATTCTCGATCTTTTCACAAATCTTCCGCCGGCTGTCTTCATCTGTAGGTTCGCCCACTCTTGGGTCCAGCGCGGAAGCTACATCGTGGTACACGTTAAGTCGACTGCTTAGTTTTGTCAACAGAGCTTTCCTCCCAACTTCTTTCATCTTTCTTATTGCCGTCATGTCCTGTTCGTGAGCTGAAAAAGCGGCCTGAAGTTTTGCTTCCCAGTAACGTGCCCTATGCAATGTTGGTTCCTTATCTTTCTCGAGCTCCAGGCCACAATCATGCAGGGGCTTTAAAACACGCGAAG